GAACGTATGAGCTTTGAAGACTTTGTATCGGACGCAAACACATGATTTTGTCTTCGTATCAGAACCGGGTAGAACACAAACGCGTGTCGAGTGAAGGATAAATAGTGATTTTTACATGATCACTTGAAATCGATTAAATCTATTTTATAGTGCAACACCTGTGGTCACCGTAGCTATCAAAGACGAATTTGAGGGAATTGTTATTTGCATATGTTTACTTTAGATAAACTTACATCTTATTAAAACCGTTTTATATGATTTTTTAGGAGATTGATTTTTTTACACGGAGAGAGTTTATTGCGTATATGTTTTTTTTCTGGAAACGTTTTTTTGCCGTTTTTTTTTGGAAACAGGACGATGGTTTTTTACGATTTTTTTGCCATATATGTTTTTATCTTAGATTTTTTTCGGGACGGTGGTTTCGGATTTTTTTTGCGTATAGGGCAGGGGCGGGGCTTTATCTCGAATATTTTAAAAAAAAAAAAATTGGGACGGTGGGTTCGGATTTTTTTTTGCATATAGGGCGGAGGGGGGGGGGCGTTATCTCGGTTTTTTTTTATGTATATAGGGCGGGGCGGGGAAGCAGATTTACTTGATTTTTTTTTTTAGGATGGTGGTTTTTGTTTACGGTTTTTTTTTCTTTGTATATGTTTTTATCTTGTTTTTTTTGGCGTATAGGGCGGGGGCGGGGGGAAGCAGCCATACCTGTAGGATTTTTTTTGTTGCCCAAAAAAATAAAAATGGAAAAAAGAAAAGAAGCCAGGCCATGGCTTGGCTCAGTCCTATGGCGCAAAAGGTCTACGAGGCGGATTCCAGCCCAGCATTAGAAGCCCAACATGGGCTGAACTTTTACATCAGGAATCCCCGAATTTCTCGAATTCAATTTAGATTCTTCCACTTTTTCTTTCCCTCTTACACTTTTGTATCTGGAATCCTTTCTTATCTTCTATTTCTTTTTCTCATCCTCTGCCCTATCTATCCTAAGGGCTCCTTTGGATTCAACCATTCCCCTAGTGGATTGGAGGGGGATCCAAACGAGCCCTAAAGAGGCTTGCGGCAGTCTGTTTTTTTTTTAACATGGGCAGGGTTAACGCGGGCGAGGGGCAAGACCATAGCGTTACTTATTTATTAGGTGTAATAAATATATATGCCACATTACCACTTCGTCCAACTCCAATGGAGATGAAGATAATGTATGACGACGCCGAGGCGGAGATGTCCTCCTCGGCCCACGTGCAGAGACGCCACGAGAAGAAGGGCCGCCTGATCTGCGACGTGAAGCTGGCGAAGAAGGCGTGGATTGCGCCGGGGCAGCGCATCGACTACACCTTCGAGATCGAGATGCAGGCCATGAGCGGCGAGAAGCTGCCCTTCATCGTGCGCGCCACCGGCTTGCCCGTCGCCCCCCGCACCGACGACAACGACGACAACCTCTCCCGCCACTTCAACGACGACCTTGTCAGGGGCGTCATCGAGCGCGAGACCCGCGCACTGGCGGCGTCCATGACCATGGAGGAGATCTTCCGGCGCACCATCAGCTCCTCCATCAACCACCAGTCCGTCTTCAAGTTCGAGAGCGTGCAGCTCGAGCTCAAGCACTCATGGTGTTCATGGTGGACGAGGAGGAGCGACAGCGACAGGACGCCGCAAGGCAAACGGAGAAGGCCAGTTGTTGACTGTCTGAGTCTGACAGAAAACAGAGCTTGGAAAGCGAAGCGTACATGGGCTCAAACATTTCCTTTTGGGGGCCCAGGGAGAACAGGAGCTAAAGAGCAGCGCTGAGGACGGGTGGGAACAGCAGCAGGCGTGCGTGGTCCAGGTGGAGGCCCATGTCGACGACGAGATGAAGGTACTAGTTGTACATTTCCTTGAGCTCTAATTTGGTGTCTAATTCTTCTCTTTATAGTTCTCCACGAGCACCCTAGATTTTGCATGTATTCTGGAGTAGGTTTCTTTTCTTCGTTCTCATTTTTCCTTTTGGGCCCAGGTCCAACATGAGGTGCAAAGTAGTGAGCGGCCGAGCAAGATCGCTTAAGTCAAGAAGTCATGCAAGAGGGCCTGCCAATCGCTGAAGCCGCTATTTTTTCAGGTAAGATGGGAAAGGAAAAAGTCCATTTTGTCTCCTCCAACTATCGCGAAAATCAGTTTTCCATCTCTTAACTTTAAAACCAGGCATAGTTCCTCCCCCGTCTCTCAAAACCGGTCACTTTACCTCCATGGCTGTTTATGTTGGTGGTTTTTTTTTTCTTTTATGCTTATTTTACCTGAATCTTTGAAAAATCATATTATATCATAGAAAAATTATAAAATAGAAAATCCAATTGCGTTGGATTTCACATTAGTAATTCTCCACAGTGAACATATCATAAGGTATGCTTTATTATAAAGTTTCTGTTGTAACTTTATATTTATGGTTTTCTGTAATTAATTCATAGCTATTGTTTGTCTGATCCAATTATGGTGAAATTTCTATGGTAGGCTAATCATTGCATGGTCATGGAACCGCTGTGCTTTCGTGTGTTGAAGCCGCGAGAAGAAAGGAGCCGATCGAGCCTTGCGTACCGAAGGGATCCAAACCGAGCCGTCGTGTAGGCGCTCCTCGCAGCGGCCTCATGATTTGTTTTGTGCCACGCGGCGTGCATCCGAGGTGTGCGCGCACGCAAAGACGTTTGCGCCCCCGGGCGCATTCTTCCGCGAAACTACCGTCCGGACAATCTCAGGGTCAAGGCCCGAAAATGAAATCCTCTTGCCTGTATGACCTTTCGTCTGTTTCTAGCACTTATCGGTGTTAAGATCTGAGCGCAAATTAGGCGGACCTTGCCCGAGCCCACTGGGTTTTGGTCCATCCACGAACCTTAGTGGTCAGGGCCTGTGCACATATCTCGTTGCCCAAAAAAAAGTTCTTAGCCCGAGCCTTGTCCAAAACATTTATTTTAGTTTACACTATAAACTCCATGGTCAGCCTGTCTAGGCCCGGGCTTGGCTCGAGCCCGGCCCGAAAAAATAGGTTCGATTCGCCTAGTGTGATGGACGTGGGTAGGATTATTTCGGTCCGAAATAATCGGGCTTTTCTTTGGCCCGGCCCGCAAATGCTCAGGCGTGTTTGGTTATAGTACTCATGAAGCCAAGCTGCTCAAAGATTTTGCTTGGTTAGCTGCATGCAAGCACCGCCTGTCTCACTGACATGTGCTGTCCGCGCGCTTGTTGCGCTCGCGCGAGCTTGGCCGTGTAAAAATGAGGATTTTTGCTGCATGAGTAGAGCCCGGCTCACGAGGGAATCCTGTACTGCATGGGACAAGCCCCACCTGCGTCCGTGCAGCCTGGCCACTGCGTATCTAGCCAAACACAGTACCTATCTAAGGCCATGTTTAGATCGAAGCCGCTAAAATTTAGACAGCTAAAGTCTTATTTGGATGTTGTAGTATTAAAAAACTATAGCACTAAGAAACCGTAGTTTTAGAACCATTGATGTGCAAAATCGTGGTTTAGAAAAAAGAGGTCTAGAGTGCAATTTTTAAAACTCCAAAAAGACTACAGTTTTAGCAATACCATGGTATTCAAAACCATAAAGTTTGTTGCACCCAAACACTTTATGACACTCTAAAACCAAAGTATTTCACAAAACCATGGTATTTTTCTAGAACTTCAAAAATACTTTATATCCAAATAGGGCCTAAACCAGTTGCTAAACTTTAGCCATCCCTGTTTAGTTTAGTGGATTAAAAGAGCCTTTTAATCCCTTTTAGTCAGGGTGTTTAGAACCAAAGTGACTAAAAGGTGAGGCAGTCTGGCCTTTAGTCCCATTTAACAACCCCTTGATGACTAATTAGCTAAATACTCTTTTAGTCTCATTTAGTCATAGTATTTAGATAAAAAATAACTAAATAAAACTAAAATTAGCTAGCTTAACTTTAGCACCTAATCTAAACACCCCCTCAGCAGCCGCACGCGGCACGTCTCAATCACTGCATCCTGTCTTTTGTGTTGCTTCTGTTTCTACTAGCCTAGAGGTGTTGCATGGAATGTTTGAATATTAATAAAAAAATAAATTATTAAAATCATCAGTAATCTACGAGACGAATTTATTAAACCTAATTAATCTATCATTAGCATATGTTTGCTGTAACACAACATTGTCAAATCGTGGACTAATTAGGCTTAATAAATTCGTCTCGCAAATTAGTCTCAATTTATGCATTTAGTTTCGTGAATAGTCTATATTTAATACTCTATGTATATATCAAACATCTGACTAGACAACAACTAAAGTTTAGAGGTAGAACCAAACACCCTCTAGATCAATCTCAGGGTCAAGGCTAGCGAGAGAGTAGGTGACATCGTTGTTACACCCGTGTCACTGACACAGGGTCCAGCATAGCACTCACGGCCCACTTATCTGTGCCTGGCACTTGGAACTCGATTCGCCCACACGGGAACTCGACTCGCGCCACGTAGTGTGTGTATATTTATTTATATATATATATATATATATATATATATATATATATATAAAATAAATAATAGTCACAATCACACACGTGGCCCAGTGGCACAGCTCAGGCCAGCCACAGCCTGTCTGAAACTGGTGCAAGGCACCGTGTTTAGTTGCCTGTACTAAACGGATCTGGCCCAATAAAGATTGTGTTTGGTAGGAGACATGGATGGATATGGTCACCCTCGTATCTGGAATAGGTGGCGTTACCTCCCTTCTCATCCTTGTTGGCATTCCATCGAGCGGTTGGTAGGCGGCGGCGAGGAACACGAGTACGTCGCTGGCGAGCATCCAGAGCGAGACTTGGAAGAAGCTTGGCTCCACCACGGCCATGGCTGCCGCCTAGCTTGAGGCCATCGCGCATGGACGCCGTACACGGGGTGCTCCACGGTGACCCAGCCGTCTCAGGCGACGACGATCTCCCTGGCTGTGGCGCGCGCCACGTCGATGGCGACGCGCACCCGGCCCAGCGCGCGGGAGGCGCTCACGCCGCAGCTGCTCCCCGTCGATGGCGTCGAGGCTGAGCACGACGGGGTCGGCGTACTCCGTCGTCGCGCTGGGGCCCAAGGCGGCGGACGCGCACGCGAGTGGCAGCAGCGCGGTGCGGGAGAGCGAGGAGGAGGGGTGGTCCTGGACGAGGCGCTCCAGCAGCGCCCGCCTCTCGCTCGGGCCGAGGCTGAGCACGTCGACGTCCACGCGGCCCTCCATCTCTGCCGGTGTAGACGCTGTGGCCGTGGCGGAGGCCCTGGCGGTACTGGCGGCCTTGTCCGCCCGCTTCTGCGACTTGTGGTCGTCGTCCCCGATGAACCACTGGACGGAGCTGGAGCCGGGCGAGCGCGGCGTCTGCGGACGCCGTGAGGAGGGCGAGGTGGTGGCCGTCGCCGCGGACGCCGCGGAGGAAGGCGAGCGGGAGCGCGAGGACGAGCAGCAGGTGGGCGGGGCCGCCGCCTACGCCGCCGTGGTGGAAATGGTGGGCGAGCGCAGCAGCGATTACGACGTGCGCGGGGTCGATGCGGAGCTCGGCGAGGTGCCGCGGCGCTGGTGGCGGAGTGAAGAAGAAGGGCTTCGGAAGGTGAAACTCGGACCGGGAGGTGACAGGATGCAGCGCGTGAGGGCCGGGCGAGACTGGCCCGGAAGAAACGAACATTTTGGGCGTTTCTCCATGTGCAGGAGAGAGATTAAGATTTGCAGCTAGAGGGCCGGGCCGGGCCGGGAGCTGGGCCAAGTAAATCAAATAGACCGAGTTGCATCTAGAGAGCGCAGGCCACCCCCATTGGCCGCGTACCAAACACGCCCTAAAAACTCTCCGTCCCAGATCGAGAGTGGTGCAGGGGCAGCTTACAGCGAAGGCGGCCCGGTGGGAAGAGCAGGCGTGGGTGGTCCGGATGGAGGCCAATATTGACGTCGAGATGAAAAAGGTCTTGTCGTACTCGGTTCCAAATCTCTAATTTGGCGTCTCATTTTTCACTTTAGTTCTCCACGAATACCCTATCTACGAGCCCAGATTTGATATAGAATTTGCATGTACTCTGTCTGGTGTCAATGGCAACTCTTATATAGCCGAATCCTTTTTCTTCTTTTTTTTTGAGAAAAAAGCCGAATCTATTAATTAGAGCTTGGAAAGCATACGTGAGTTATTTTTTGCTTTCGTTTTCTTTCTTATTTAGGCCCAAGCCCAACAGGAGGTGCAAAGCGGCGAGCGGTTGAGCAACGTCGCTCAAGTCAAGGAATCATCATGGAGGAGGGCCTGCCAATCGCTGAAGCCGCTAATTTTCCAGGTAGGGTGGAAAATCCGTATTGGGCTCACAGCATGTGCAACCCCACGTCCACCGGGCTTCTGTCCAATCGGGCTTACAGATCCAACCTTGCGACTCCTGTGCCAAATTTTTTCGACAAAAATACAGACAAGAACTTTGTCTAAAATCAACATCAATCACCATCAAGATATTGCTTGTGGTTGACACCGTGGTCTTATTCGTCATCAATACAGTACTCCTCATTAAACTGTTAAATTGGGGCAATGCCTTGGCCTGCATCTCATGGTTCCTCCTAGAACTGGCGATGGGCCTTCTCATTCTCCCGTTCAACGGATGCTATGCCTTCAGCATCCTCACCGTGCTGTTCCTGATCCTTGTTGTCACAACCCTTTCTTATACCTCCTCGCATTATCCAAAAATTTAGTTTCACATCAAACTGTTGAACACATCGCACAGAGACCATAGTTTTAGTAATTCCAAAGCAATGTAAAGATAACCAATGTGAATCTGTGTGGTAATACAATCAGAACTCTAGTTTTGAATGTTGACAAGGTTACAAACCAGCTATGATATCAAACAAAAATAAAAATAAATACAGAATAAGGTCATGAAGCTGAATGAATGGCATGTTTTTCTCAAATCAAACAAACCTATAAGATTACCAATCTCATTGGACTTGATTATAACAACTTAAATTGAAGCATCATATCTTGCATGGCTTTTTCATTGGCACAACCTGCCAGAAGTAAAATTACCTACTCAATTTCAAGAAGGAATAAAAAAAATACTTACTCAGTTTCAAGGAGACAGAGGAGTAAGAGCAAAATATTTGATTGTTGCCCTTGTGGTGATTATCGAGATTTGTATTCTGTGTTTGCCAAATTGTGACAACACGCCATGGTGGCATAATCTGACGGAGGAGTTGCTCATCGGACATGATATACTATGGTGACAACTTATGGCAATAACCATGAGAGATCAATGGCAGGGATGAAAACTTAAGGAGCAGAACTACATCTTAATCTTACAAATGCAGCTATAATGGCACTATAAGAAATAGACTTCAAAATATCCGTGTCATATATTGTTATATGCTGTATTGCACAAATGCTTGATAATAGATGCAGTTATGCAAAGGAGCACGAAAATGAAACATTAACAGAGCTGAAGTCCTTACTGCAGGCATAGCTCTATTGAAAATGGAACTTAACACATGCAGGGCAGCTGAAGTGAAGTTAACGCATGCAAGTGACATTGTGTTGGACCTCAGATAGTCGATAGTAGTGGGAAGGGGACTGACCAGACGACTAATCGAACCTAGTCGGTAGTCTAGTCCTGCTCCGTGCCCTTGTACCTAGGTGTATGTGCTATGTGCTATATGTAGTATAACTGCATCAAGCTGTATGTGCTATATACTGTCATATATAGTATTCATCATCATTAATTGGTAAAGAAAGCAAGCAGTGAAGCATGACTCGATCTCAAGCAATCTCACCTGCTGTTGCATTCCATCAACTGGTTCGTCGCCTCGTTGTTGGCGGAGTGGCGGCGATGGGGTTGCTCCTCCTCCTCACTTGACCCTCGCTAGTCCCGCCCCTGGCGCAAACCACGGAGACCAGATGGTCGGCGATTTGACGACGAGGACTGCAGATCATGGGCAGCAGGGGTAGAAGAAATCCCTGCTCCGGTGGGCCTCGTCGCAGAGGACGGTGACGAGGAAGAGCGGAGCGGGGAGGGAAGCGAGGAGAGGGAGACATGCGGAGTCGGAGCAGAGAGAAATCCGGAATGGTTGGGGACGGAGGAAGAAGGCGTTGCATTGTAACAGAACCGACCAATTATACGAAATTAAGTAAGAAAATCATCCGCCAGAGCAAATGATTTAGCAAACTTAAGCCCGTATAACCCGGTAGTCCGTGAAATCACGAAGGATTTCAAATCAACTTACATCCCAGCCAAGATCGTAATAAGTTTAGCGGTCACCATCATATATTACATAAAAGTTCGCATCACAGATACATCAGAGTTTAAACATAGTTATTACAAAACGAGTTCGAATAAAAGTAGCGGAAGCCATTTGTTTAAAACCACACACACTCACACGGAGTTCAAATACAGTGCCAGCTGATGATCATCTCCAACAAAAGCATTAGACGAGACGTACGGAATGACCATGCCCATGGTCCTAAGCATCACCCATCGCAGGATAAAGTCTGTTGATACAGTAGCCGTAATACATCTGCCCATCTGCAACAAGTGGGAATAAAACCCTGAGTACGAGAAGGTACTCAGCTAGACTTACCCGACATAACCGAAAATAAAGTGACACCAAGGATTATGAAGGGCTTTATAGTAGTGTAGCTGACTCATTTGCAAAAAGACGCATTTTTATCATTTCAAGAACCTTTCTAAAAGCATGATTGTCAAGTTAATTATTTATAACCTGTCGACTAGATTTGCACCTATACTAGAGCAAACATGTGATTAAGCAGATAATGATAACCAATGATCATTAACAACTTCCATAATGTCATATTCATTATAACTGTCCAAGTGTTCCATCAACATTACTACGATGAAGTCACTCAAGTCAAGTGCTCACTATCCAGGAGCGATGGCGATTCGAATCGATTCCTAACCAGCTGGTGATTTATTCCTTACACAAACCTCACTCACCCGCTAAAGTGAGGTATTGATCACCGAGTCAACTATCCAGGAGTCTCGAGTTTGCCAGGAACCACATGTACCCGGGGGCCGACCGACTGCACTTTGGTCTTACCATCTCGCCCCCGTGTCCTACCACACCTGCTCCGGCACAGTGCGCTGCGGGCAATCTACTCGGCTCGAATAATCTCCCAGCTTCACAGTCGGAAGGTTCTTTATCCGGCCAGCTAAATGTAAGGCATGCGTTCAACATGACTCGAGGCCCAACAACGGTCGGTCCTTAATGAACACAAACGGAAAGCACTACAGTCCAAAACTCTGTAAGTCTCCGTCCGGTCTCAACTTCATTTAACACTTAGTTATACCATGACTACATAGTTATCCAAGCAGATCCAGGTAACCACCTATAGCTCGCAGGTGACAGGAAATCACCCGACTTTTATCGGTCTAAGCCAGCTAAGCATTGACTCGACTGCGGATACCAGGGTAACAAGGATATAGTATAACAAAGGTAGACAAGGTATAATGCAGCAACGGTTGCAAACAACTCCTGAACATAATGCATCAATTAAAGTAAAGCAGTTAATTAATAATTGCAAACCGGGGAGAAAATGCTCCGGGGCTTGCCTCTCTCGAAGGAGCTCGGACGGTGATCGGGGCACTCCGGAAGTTCTTCAACGTCCTCCTCGTCAGCTTCGGGCACTTCCTGCGGCTGCACTTCGAGCTGCTCCTCGGGCTCCTCGGGTATGACGATTGGGTTCTCGGTTTGCGATCCTGTATGATGCAATGTGCGTAAGTGCTTATGCAATCGGTGCATCGGATGAGATGAATACAATGGATATGCTTGAATGCAAGGTAGTTAACATCATCCAAGAACATATACTACAAGCACATGTCATCTACTGCATTCTCTTCTACTACTAATATGCTAAGTCAACACATCTTATTAAATGCTTCAAAGATACACCAAAGCTTTACTAATTCTTTAATCACACATAAAGCAACACTTGATTAAACCCTAATTAATAATAGGTTTGAATAGTAACATCTATTTTTATTGCTTAGAAAAATCTTAGAAAATTACCATAGCATAGTACTACCCTAAGTAGTCTAACATCAGATTTTCATGGTATTTGAATGAGTGGATTAGCCTACACAAAAATAACAAGCTATGGCATGATTATGAACATGAAAATACTTTGTACTATGAAAAGTGTCAAACAACAGAGTTAGTATTTTTCCTATATTCTACACAGTAATTAATCACTGTACAAAAATTATCACATGCATGTTTTATACAAATTTTGCTCTCTAGCAAAAATAACAAAAATCAGCCATTAAAGGTACTTGAAATACACCTCAAATTTTTTCTACAGCACATGCATGACACATATTTTTCCTAGGAAGTACATTATATAAGAAGATTAACAAACTTGGAAATCATATTTTTCTGAAGCTTATAGGTTTTTCTACACATTTTTCAAGTTATCAGCAATATCAATGATTAAATAAAGTTCTACAGAAAAGTATCTCAAAAATGACATGCAATAATTTTCCCAAGTAGATCTGGTGATAAGGAACCTAGCAAAATTTATTTCAATAAATTTCGAGCAAATTTGAGTATCCAAACATTTTTCAAATCATTTCTCCTTTTAAATAATAAAGAAAACTAAAAACGAAAACCTGCTATTGCTACTGGGCCGGCCCGTGGGAACCAAATGCCCACGGTTACCTCTCGGCCTGCTCAGACCGAGCGAAGGGGAGTGCGGTGGCTTGGCAGGGGCTTCGGCCCACGGCCACTTGGCCCAGGTCGGCCGAGGCGGGGGGGTTCATGCCGGCGTCGAGGCGTCATGCCATGGCCAATGCTTTCGGCAATGGGACGTGACCATTGACAACCGGGTCAGGCAAGCAAGGCGAGCGATGGGGTTCACAAGGAGTTGGCGAATGCGAGCGGAGCCAATAGGAAGGGTGGAGGAGGGAAGAAGGGTGAGTTCCACACTACGGTCGAGCACGGCTGCGCTTTATCACCGACGGTGACAATTTGTAACACCTCGGTGTTAGCTTTGCATAACTTGACTTGCATAACATGAGCATGAGCATCAAGCATTCATAAATCATCATTTCAATTGAAACATTCGATCGAAACATATGAAACATTGCTTGTTATCTCGTATTTCTTGGAACATATACATATGATCATGAGTGACTAATACATGTAATGATTGTGTGACCTTGTGAATTGCTTAAACATGTTTAGAGTATCCTTATAAACAACTTTGATATTCATGGCTAGGGCTAATTAGGTCATTAGGTCATAGCCCAAGTGGGTACCATCTTTTAAAAGTGACATGTTTGACCAAGTTGAAATAGGTGCTAGAGACTATGCATGTATGTGGGTACTAAAGCAAAGTTGTAGTATGTGTCATGGAGAACAACTTTCTTTTTGGGTCATGAACTAATAATGTGCATAGCCTAGTCCTTTTAGCTCACACAAAATCAGAAA